GCAGGGAAGCCAAGCGCCCGGGAGCCCACCTGCAACACATTTCCAGGAGCCCCTCGAAAACCACCCTTCACTAATGGGGGCCATATGGAAGCCCCCACCCAGCAAAGGGAGGCTCTGAGCATAGCAAATCAAGACAGCCTCTGTGCCAGGGGCTGGGGAAGTGGGAAGAGGGGAGTTTGCTTGTGTTCTACCCTAGAGTCTCCAGGAAGGATGTAGGTAGGGCCTGTAGCTGCTGCAAAAACATGAGAACTTGGTGCCAAGAAGCCACCAGAAAATTGGCCCAGCTCCTTCCTTATCTTGCAATCTAGACCTCCAGCCAGAGCCAGCAGTTGCAATCACTGGAAGAGGGAGGGGTGGAGGCCAGGTTTGCAATCACTCCTTCTTTGGGAGGCCTCTTCAAATCTGAGCTGGAAAAAGCAGCTGCCTCCCTGGGGAGCAGCGTGAGGGCTCCTTGATGGCCTTCTCAGAGCAGCATGGAACCCTGGGGGAGCTTCTGCCGACAGCAGACACCCAGAGCCCTAGGTGGTATGGTCCTGCCAGTCCCTGGGAGTGGCGGCTGAATGCAGGGCTCACCCGTCCTTCTACCGACATCACAAATACTGAAGTGGGATGTGAGGAGCTGCCTCTTACCTCCCAGAGCAGTATGGTGTGGGGAGGTAGTGCCAGGAGCCCAGCCTCTGGCATCAGACAGACAGAAGCTCGAAGCCCAGGTCCGCTGCTTCTGAGAAGCTATGCAACATGGAGCAAGTGACTGAACCTCTCTGGGCTTGTGATCTCATTTGGAAACTGGAGATGTACACCCAAGTTGCCGGGAAGATTAAGAGCTATGTGCACATCCCAGGCACACAGCTGGAACTGAATAAATGTGCTGAGACTATTGGAAGGACCCAAACAGCACAGGAGATCAGCAGGGGGGAGAGAGAGGAGTGAGCGGGCAGAATCTATGTGGAGCAGAGAGGCACGGGGGCATGAAGGAGCCACAGTTGAAGAACAGGCAGCAAAGTGTTGCCGGAACTACGTCATGATATCTGCCAGCTTATTAGCAGGGGAACGGTTCTATTTTTAAAAAGCAAACCAGCCCAATGGAGGCATCAACTGTACTACTGCATCTACATGGTGGAAATAAGCACCCAGCTCTGTCTTTTCTCCAAAGCCTCACATGGTACCTGAGCCGGCTCTCCATTCCTTTCCTGAGCCTTCCAGCCCCGAGGGCTGCCCTGCCCCTCTCCCCTGTCCCTTTGCTCTTTGTTGCAGAAATAATGCCAGAAGGAAGTGGCGTCCTGGGGTCTTGCAGGAGGCTTGTCACGACTCGATCCCAGGAGCTGGTCTTGACAGCCCAGAGGTCTGGCTGACGTCATGGCTGGGCCAGATGTAACGGCCTCCGTCCCCAGGTGCGACGGGTGGCCAGTGTCTTCTGTGAGCCTTTGCTCAGAGCTGGCCAGAGCTGTGGACCTCGAGCACTCACAGGGAGAGCTGGGGTGGGGGGGGGGGACAGGGCTGGAAAATGGAATCCTGTATTTTGAGATTGAATTAAACCGTAGCAATGAACTGCGATCTAGAAATACAGCTTTTCACGTCTCCGATGCATCTGTGTGGTCCTGTAGTGGTCCAGGGCAAGGGGAATGATTGCGCTGGCTACATCAATTGCCCACAAAACACCAGGAGATGAGTCAATACGAATTGGCAGCCAGGGAGCGGCCCCTGAATGACAGGCTGCAGGGCGTCCAGCTTTGTCCTCTGCATCCTAGCATTTGTCCACAATACCACCACTGCTCTTCTACCGCGTGGCCCGTGAGCAGGGGCCCCTCCCCACTGAGAGGGCTCGGGGTGGTGGAGAGCACAAGCTTTGGGATCAGCAGGCCTGTCTGCATCTGAGGCTAGCATCTTCTGTGTGGTCTTCGTGTGAACTTGGGACTTAATCTCCTTGGCTTCAGTTCCCTGCAGTGCTCCACTACGAGGGTTTCTGTGAGGATTAAGTAGCATAAAGTATATACAGGGCCTGGCTGAAGGAGAGCAGATTCCCTTTTCCCATGGTTCGGGTTCTCAGACCAAGCTTGCGGGGTCTGGCCAGACTCCCCTGTTGTTCCTTCAGAGCCCACTCCCGTGCTGTTCCTTCAGAGCCCAAGCCCCCTGTGCTGAAACACAGCCCCACACATCCCCCAGACCCCTTTCTTCTGCCTGGAGTTGACTCTCTCTGGCTCCTCAGTACCCACAGTGGCTCGGCCTGCCCTCTGGTGGAATCTCCCCTCTTTGACCTGTCCTGAATCACTCCAAAGCAGCTACTCAGGATTAGGAGCAAAGTATCTTCTGCGCAGAAGCAAAAATGTCAGCGCATAATCTTCTGTAAGAAACCAGACAGGATAGTATGCAGGAGTGACATGTCCAGTTTTTAGGAAGCCTGGAGCATCATCCAGCTCTGAGACCCAATCTGGCCTTCAGATCTACCCGACAAGGCTTTGGTTCAGTGGGAAAGAAAAACCAGGAGGATAAAGTGGTGAGGAAACGTGAGTTGGCTTTTCTGATGAGCAATAACCCTAAGGCTCTGTCTGCCTTGTTTTCTATTTGGGAACCATTCATCCCTGAAGCCAAAGAGATGGAGAAAAGGGTAGACCCGGAATCAGAAAGAGTCTCAGGTCTTAAACCTCCTCGGCCTCTACTCCTGTGTCACTCACCCTAAACTGGTCAAGCACAGTCATATTTGTATTTTGGCCCTGCACGTCCTTCTAGAACCTTAAGTGACTCCCGCGCTCAAAGCAGAATTTTACCAAACCTCTTGTGAAGCCTGCTAGCTGTTTCAGAACAAAAGCTGCTGAAGGAGCGAGGCTGTCTCTTCCAGGATGATGTCTCCAGTAGCTGCCCCCCGTGCCTGGCACCTAGCAGGTGCTCGGTAAATACTCGTGAGACTGAGCTCCTCTGGTCAGCTGTGGATCTGTGAGTCAGACAGTTCTGAGAAGACAGACATTGAAGGTAGGCATTTTAAACTCGGTTCCACGGGGCTTCAAACCCAGAGTGACAGAGCCATGGACAGGAAGGTAGGGAGAGCTTAAGAAATTGATAAAATGCAAGGAGTGGGGAGGAGATCTCAGCTATGAGACTTGTTTAGATCATTTGTCCACTTGCTTAATGCCAACCACTTGAAAGATTAAAAAAAAAAAAGAAAGAAATATTCAGGCCTCCAACAATGCGTTTTTTATTTTTTTACAGGCAGAAAAAAGAGAGAAAGGCGGGAACCTCAAATTTTGGAACCTCTGGTAGAATGACTTTTCAACCCAGCCGAGGCCACCCAGCCGTTGCCATTCAGCTGAACAAGAAGGAACAGTGGCCTGCCACCTCTTTCCCACCTGGGAGGCCAACCCGGGGGACAGCACCCAGCCAGGCCGGATTTCGGACACTCCCAGCCCACTGGTGAGCCGTGCCTACGCTGGTCCCTGCTCCTGTGCTAGAAAAATCTGAGCCTCGAGGCACGAAGTGCAGCCTCTCTTCCTGAGGCCAGCATGCAGCCTGCTTCCCAGCCGGCCTTCCACTGTAGCTTCTGACCTGGACTTGAATTCTCCGAACGCCAGGGAGCTGGGGTTCCTGCATCTTACTGAGAGTCACCTGCAGTAGGACCTGTGTTTGACAACATGTGTGGGAGCAGCGTGTGTTACAAGGAAATACTGTTGGGAAGGTGGGATGTCTTCGTTCTCGAAAGCTACAGAATAATACCACCCAAAACTGGCAGGGGGAGGCAGAGGGCATGTGATGAGGGAAGAAACAATGAAGCAACAAAGCCAAGATATGAAAATACCGTGTCTCGGTCATCGGTGCAAAATCTCTATACAACCCCAACAGGGGCCCTTGGTCTGCAGAGTGATTAGCTGCCACCAAGGGAACACGGGGCCAACGTGACCATGAGCTCGCCCTTACCCCCAACGAGTGTGATGCTGTCTGCACATACCAGCTCTTCCTAACTAGAGCGGAAACTAATGCTAATGTTAACCTCTACAAGGTGAGCGAACATGGCTATCTAACAAGATTTTAGTAAGTCACAATTCACGGGTACGAAGAAGTGCTTTCTCACTAACGTAAGCTGTTCTCTCAACTTATTTATGGTTTTCCAGGGATCATCTCAGAAAACCTTCGGTTTTAAAATCCAGATCTCTGGTTTCTCCCTAACTAGCCACAGATAACTTGTGGCTTCCGCACTGAGAGTTCTGGGTGACATCCACTGGCTCCTTTAGCCTGTTTTTTCTGCTCCCATGAAATGTTAGGTGGCATCCCATCCCTGCCCCAAGTCCACCAAACAACAACAAAACAACCCAATGACCCAGCAATGGGCCCCACGAACTCCTGTCAGTTGTGCAATAGCTTGTCTCCTTCCTGATCCGGAGTATCACCTGCCTCTGCTCCCTGGCTTCTGCTCCTTTGCAGCTTTGTTGTAACAGCGCAACCATGCTCCCAAACACCGTCCTCCTGCTTGCCCCATGGCCCCCCTCTGTATTTGGCAGAACAACTAGGAATTGAACTGGCTGAGACAAAAAGGTCAATCTTTGGAAGGAAGGAGCTGACCGCCCCACCCCACCTCCACACCCAGCACTAATGGAACAAAGGACCTGAATAATTCCAGGTTCTTCCTTCTCCAATCTTCTCCCTAATCTTCTCTGGTGTCCAGTTCATTTTCTGAGGGCTGCTTCCTTCATATGGTTGGAAACTGGCCATTGGCCACTCTCACAATGTGCAGCCTGTCATCAGAGAGGGGTTGATGTCTTTCTGTAGCACAGAGACAGATAGACACACACACACACACACACACACTCCTAGGGAAGGATTCTGATTGACCTGGTCTAAGTGCCATGGTCTACGTGTTTGAGTCCCTCTCTCTCCAGTTCACGTGTCAAAAGCCTAACCCCCCAAAGTGATGATATTAGTAGGTGGGGACTTTGGGAAGGGACTGGATCATGAGGGAGGAGCCCTCATGAATGGGACTGGTGCCTTAGCAAAGAGGATTCAGAGATTCCTACCTCCTTCCACCATGTGAGGACACAAGTCTTCAGTCTGGGAGAGGGCTCTTGATCATGCTGGCACCGTGACCTCAGATTTCCACCCTGCAGAACTATAAGATATACATTTCTATTGTTTATAAGTCACTCAGTCTGTATTATAGCAGCCCAAACAGACTACACACTCAGTAACCAACATACACAGGTATTGTGCCCATTTCCATGACTATTGGGTATTACAATGGAAGGTACCAATAAAAGGATACAGAAGGAGTGGAAGGTAAGTTCCTCCAAAGGAAAGGGGTGTGTGGCTCCAAGATGAGAGGAAGGGTGATTACAGGCAAAAAAGGTGAGGTCCACTATACCTTCCTTGACCACAATCTGGTACCTTTCTCAAAATATACTGCTTCAGATTGCTGTGGCTCGAAGTGTCCCTCAGATAATCTTCCTGTGATTATTCTTCCCACACCTACAGGTGACATTCTCACCACACTGTTCCAGAGCCCAAGAGGAGAATATTTATAAATCTCCTGTTGTTTATGTGTGCATATATATACACACACATGCAATTGTATTTTAAAGTTGTATTCTAAAATCCCTCACAAAATAATATCACTGTTTATACAATCAAAGTTCATTTAGGTTTACCTCCATATTTTCCACTTTATTTGCTCTTTCTTCAGTCTTATACTTTCTATCTGGGATCACTAGCTTCCTGCCTAAAGTACATTCTTTAGAATTTTCTTTGGTTTGAGTCTACTAGTGGCAAAATCACTCCATCTTTTTGTTTTGGTCCTAGATTTTTTGTTTGTATATTTTATTTCTTCTTATTCTTGAAGACTATCTTGGGTGGGCATAGCATTTTTTGTTGGTAGAATTTTGTTCTTTTGACACATTGACCTCACCATTTTACAAGTCACTAGCTTCCATGTGATTGTGGAGAAGTTGGCTGTCACTCTAATAGCTGTTCCTTTGGTTATCTTTTTTCTCTGTTTTGTGATTATTTCTTTGGTTTGGTTTTCTGTTGTTTCATTATGCAGGGGTAGATTTCTTTCTGTTTATACAGTTTGGCATATGATGGGTTCCTTCAATCTGTGGTTTAAGTTCTAGAAAATTATCAGCAATCATCTCCTTAAAGCTGCCTCTATTCCGTTCTCTCCCTCTTCTTCTAGAACTCTTTTTAAACTTATTTTAAGTCTTCTTACTCTATCACTTGTGTCTACCCTTCTCCTGTATTTTTCTTCTCTTTGATTATTAGTCTTTTAGTCTTTCTGCACTATAGTTAATTTCTTTTGATCTATTTTCCAATTTACAAGTTCTCTCTTTAGTCTAGTCTAATGTGCTAAAATCCCATTTATTGAATTCTTAATTTAAATAATATCATTTTTAGTTCTAGAAATTCTATTTGGCTCTTTTAAATAGCTGCTATATCATTTTTTATACTTTCCTGTTTTTTACTGATCCAACTGAATTTAATGAGTGTTTTATAGTGTGTTTGACCATTCTAATCTTTTAAAATCTGTTTGTTATGTCTTCGAGCTGGTTCTTGCTCAAGGTGTCTTATTTCCTTGTATGTTTGGTTATCCTTGAGTAAGTGCTGGCCACTGTGCTTAAAAATAAGATGTTTCAGAAATAATTCAAAGCTAACTAAGATGAAGTCACATTCCTTCAAAAAGGACTTTTGTTTGCTTTGCCCATCACCTGTCTGGAATCACCTTAATCCAAGTTCAGGGCTGAAAGCTGTTTTGGACCACCCAGGTGATGTTAACTCAGACTGCAAGGCTGACAGAGACCACCCAGGACCACCCAAGTGATGTTAACTCAGACTGCAAGGCTGAGAGAGAGAGAAAAACACAGAAAGAGACAAAGAGAAAAAGGAAAAAGAAGGAGGAGAAGGAGAAGGGGGCAGAGAAGGGGGGAGGAGGAGGAGTGGGGAGGGGGAGGTGGGGAAATGAGAAGAAACTGAATAAAGGAATTACTTTTGGTTCACCCTTACTTTGAGGATGAAGCCAATCAGGATACCAGCTTAATAGGTACAGGGAAGAATGAGCATCAGACTCACATCCTGAGCTGCAAATCCTTGGCTTTAACTTCTATTCCCCCTGTCACATGAGGCCATCACAACTCTAGCTCAGTTAGCATCTGTTTCTTATTGGATCAGCAAAGACCCTCAGAGTAAAAGTTACTTTGAGTGAGTAACTTACCTCTTCCAAGATTTTGCCTTGGTAATTCTCCCCTATCTAGTTGGCACTTTAGTGCTTTAAAATTGTAATTTTTAAAAAAGATTTTATTTATTTATTTGACAGAGAGAGAGACAGCGAGAGAGGGAACACAAGCAGGAGGAGTGGGAGAGGGAGAAACAGGCTTCCTGCTGAGCAGGGAGCCCGATGTGGGGCTCAATTCTAGGACCCTGGGATCATGACCCGAGCCAAAGGCAGACGCTTAATGACTGAGCCACCCAGGCGCCCCAAAACTGTAATTTTTATATTCCATCTGGAGTTTTGATTTTCCCAGCAGAAAAGCTGATCTAAATTTCCTAACTCAGCATTTCAGGAGTTATTGTTTTATGTTAATAAAAATATTGAAGCAGAAAATAAGAAAAAGAAAATAAAAATAATCTGGAATAGCACTATCAGAGATATCTAATTATTAAAATTAAAGTTATAGTAAACATCTTTTCAGAATTCTTTCTCTGCATACATTCACACATACATTATTCCATATAAACCTGTATTACTTGCTAGTCTGTAACTTTTGCACAACATGATCATTTTCCATGTTAATGAGATCTCATCACTGAAAATGTTTGCATAATGATACTAACACTTACTGAGGACTTACTATGTGCATGGACTTCCAATGTAATTAATTCATTTAATCTTTGGGACAACTTTCTGAATAGATTTTATAGATTTTGAAGCTATTTTAGAGATTTTAAAACATTTTCTAGCTTAAGAAACATAAGCAAAGAGATACTAAATAATGTGATCAAAGTCACGCCAAAGTAGTTGGTGGTAGGGTCAGATTTGAACTCAGACTGACTCCAAAACCTATGCTTATAAGAGCTTTATGGTGCAAAGTATTCCACTGTATTCCACTTAATGTATTAAAGCAAGCCACATACTCATGGATAATTAAATTATTCAAAGTTTGTTTTGCTATTACATAAAAATAAGTTAAAAGAAATCCATACATCTTTATGTTCTCATTTACCTATGTCCTCAGAATGAATTCCTACAAAGAGAACTGCCATGCCAAGAGTATATTCATTTACAATTTTAGATTCTGGTACATATTGCCGGACTGCCCTTCAGAAAGGTTTATCTATTCACAGTCCCTCTATCACATCAGTTTATAAAAGTGCCAATCCATTGGCATCCTTTCTAGCACCGAGTTTTGTCAACATTTTCTTTCTTTGATGCTCTGAGCATTATTATCTGCATTCCTTTTCAAACTGTGCCATTGAACTTCTCCCGTCTGGTGAGCTATCTGGATTCCCATTTGCTGCATTTCCTCTGTCCAGCCTTGGCTTTGTTCTGCTTTTTCCCCTCTTCATTAGTTTGTCCTATGGCAAGCTCAGCTTTCTGGTTACATTTCCTTTCAGAACAGAAAGCCGTCTTCAGGGTACAGGATCATTCCGAGTCTCCTAAACCCCATTTTCTGATTAGGATGCAGTTACCCGAGAGACTAAGACATTCATTTCAGGGCTGCCATTCTTTTCTTTCAGGTTTTTTCCCAAGCCCATAAAATCTTTTCCTTTAACAGTGGGCGGGCTTTAGGGAACGCACATGGAAACCTGTTATACTACCAAAGGTGTCTCCAACAGCCCAATGAAGAGCTGTGTTGTGGTCCCAGAACTTCAGTCTAGCAACCGAAACAGAATTTTCTAGGTAACCCTCCGCTTCCCTCCCTTCCTCTCTTCCTTGTTTCCTTCCTCACACATTTCTTTATTCCTTGTTTCCTTCCTCACACGTTTATCGTTTCTTCAAGACCACAAAGACAACACACATTCAAAAGGACAATTCTTAAAATTCCACTTCTCTCTTCCTTCCACTCCTCTCAAATATTGTTATCCTTCCCCCTTGTATTTTTCTTCCAATTTCCTCCCTACGGCTTGCCTGTTATCTCCTTTCCCCCTTCTTCCAAACCTGTAACTCCAAAGCTCAAAGAGGACTTCTAAAAATGACAGACTTCCTTGGAAGGCAAAGGAGAGGGAAAAACTGAGCAAACAAACAAAAATGAGATCCCTCTTCTAAAGGAAACGGAAACACTAGAAAATGCAAAAATTATATGCTAATAATTTATGTCCCATCAGAAACACAATGCAGTGTGTTTCCAAGTATTTTTTTTGGTCCTTTCCTTCTGATATGCTGATGGGCAGGAGTGATAATATGTAGGTAAACCCTCCTGCTGGGGTGGGGGTGCTGGGGACAATGAAGTGACAGGTGTGACTTCCTGCCTTGGGAAGACAGGAGAGTTAGGACAGCCCTCACACTTGCTGTCACTGATGTTACACCGAGCCAATGCCACAGAACCAAAAAACGTTAGAGATGAGAGAAAGGAGTCTCGGAAGTTTCTGAGCTTATCATGTTCTAAACTACGTTCTTTGGGAGACTAGGCCATATTCAGATATCTGGCAAGGGGAAGGGAGGGAGAAAAAGAAAGTATAAGCTAAACAGTGAAACAATATTCCTTACTGCTGGATCATTCTGACACTTTTATATTAATATGTAATATGAATTACAGATCTCTAGGAGGAAGATATGAAATGTGGTTTTAATGTTTCTTTAAGTTACTTGACCACAGGACTCTTCTCCTTCTGGAAGCCCTACTTTTTACAACAAAATTTGGGTATGAGTGCATACATTTGTATTTTTGTCTTCATTTTTATGGATGAGATGTTTTATAGCTCCGCATGCTTTATTTGGTAACAGTGCACAGAGTGATTGTGTGTGGGGGGGTACTGTACAATAGGATGCAAAGTATTACTTTAAGATGTTGTAAAGCATAAAAGATTTTAATTTTTCAAAGTGCCCTTTAAATAAAAAAATACATGCTAATCATAGAAAATTTTTAAAATATAGGTGATCATCAAGATACTGAAAATCAGGGC